ACCCATAAGCACACATTCTCGTCTCCTAGGAATCCATGGATTACAAATGCGCTGCTGCGCTGAATAATAAAGAAAAATAATCTTCACAAAAAGGTGAAATTGCAGTCTTTCAACGCATCTTTGCGAGCTAGATTTAAAAATTATAGCAACATTCTTTCTAGCGTCCTCAAACGTGCAAAACGGGAATATTATGAACGGCGAATAATTGAAAACGGAACAAATACTCGGCGTAATTGGGAGCTAATTAAATAATTTCTGAATGTTAGGGAGTCCGATGCCAGCATTAAAAAATAATTTACAAAGACAAGGAATACTCTACCGAAGCTGATATGTCAAATGTCTTTAGCGATCATTTTGCCGCGTGCCAAAATACGCTCTCACTTAGCGTTCCAGCCCATCTTCCACGTAGCCCTCAGTCCTTCTTCCTTCGCCCGGTTTCTTCTTCAGAAGTTTTTAACGTAATTTCTTCCCTCAAAGTTACGGGACCAGGGCTGGACTCCATCCGGCCCTCTAGAATAAAACTGGTTGCTGCAGACATATCATTAGTTTTTGCAGATATTGCTAACAAAATTTTCAGAACCGGTATATTTCCTGAGTTGTTGAAACGTGGTAAAATAATTCCTGTGTACAAAAAAGGCTCTCGTGATAACATTAACAACTATCGCCCCATTTGCATTTTGCCATTTTTTGGCAAAGTCATTGAAAAGCTTATCTACAGTCGTCTGATGCACTATCTAAACAAATTTAATCTTCTTTCCCCACACCAGTTTGGCTTTAGGAATGGTTATTCAACGGAACAAGCATTGCTCAAATTCACGGATAACATTAAACAATTTATTGACGAAGGGTTCGTTGTAGGTGCCATATTCATTGATCTAACAAAGGCATTTGACACACTAGAACATTCTATTCTTCTGGATAAGCTCGAGTCTTTTGGTATTACTGGCCCAACTCTAAATCTTATTCGTAGCTACTTGTCTAACAGGCCACAAGTCGTATATCTTAATGGCCAATTTTCATCGACTAAATTAATTAACTGCGGTGTTCCCCAAGGTTCTATATTAGGTCCGCTGTTATTTCTACTATTCATAAATGACTTACCTAATACGCTTACGTTTTCTGTTTGCTATATGCTGACGACACGACCATTTACTCACCACATAAATCGCTCACCGCACTTCAAGACACACTTAATGCAGATCTTAACAACGTGCATTCATGGTGTAGAAATAACAAACTTCAGATTAATCCTACTAAAACAACTTTCGTACTCTTTCATAGCCCACAAACTGTGGTTTCTTCCTCCATAACTGTCTTGCTGGATAATTATACTTTACTGGCATCTGACAATGTTAAATTCCTTGGTGTTACTCTCGATAAACATCTCAAATACAATGGTCATGCCAATTCACTTATAAAAAAGGGTTTCATTTGGTATCCGCATTATCATTACAACACGTGCATTTTTTTCAACCTCATGCTCTCATCTCACTTTATCATGCTTATATTAATAGCCATTTATCATACTGCTTATCATCATGGGGTAACACATACGCCATTCATCTCAAACCGCTTCAACGTCTTCAAAACCAGGCGATCAAGTTAATGACTTTTAGCCCATTCCGTTGCCATTCTCTACCTATCTATCAACATCTTCGAATCCTACCCATTCAACAATTGTTTTATCATAGATTGTCGCTCATCACATACCGTCTCATTCATCGCGAAATATCACTTGATAATATTCCTTTCCATATCTTCGTCAACAACAATAATACCAGGTTTTCAGAGCGTAATAACTTCCTTTTACCTAAAATCAGATCAAACTATGGCAATACACAGCACGCTTCTTTTGTGTTCATCTTTGGAATAATATCCCTCTTCATGTTAAGTCGTCTCATTCATTGCAGTCTTTTAAACATAACATGAAAAGCATACTGTTAATTGAGCCCCTTGTTCATTTGTAATAAAACATTTTCATTATTACCTCTACGTTTTCAATTCCTGCTTTTACGTATTCTTGTAGTTTTGTATAATGTTGTTCTGGTAAATTAACTTTTTCGATTTGACTATTTATTGTTCTGTGTTGAATGCACTTTTTATTTTTGTTCGCACTTGTAGCTTTTGCTGCTATTACTTACCTTTTATGTACCCCATTAACGATAGGAGGTTCCTCTGACAGTTTCTTACTTTGGGACCTCCTGACGCTGTATATATTATGTGAGCTCATTTTTTTTTTGTACTCATGTACTCAGCAATGAATAAACTTGAAACTTGAAACTTGATGAGGATCTCAAATTGAGCAAGTGCGTCTAAAGTTAGGTCGAACCGACCCAAAGTAACTTATTCATTTCATTAAAGGGGCCCTGAAGCACTTTTTCAAGTAACTATGGAATTAACTCACTGGGAAAGTCCATTTCCTCACAAATTCAACGCCGCCAAATTGTTAAGAATCCGTCAAGTGCGAGTCGAGTTACAAAGGTTTCTCGCCAGCTGTAATTGCATTTTCTCTTCTCTCGTCCCGACCAAAGCGCTGGAAGCTAAGCAGGGAGGTATAGAAGGGCCACAGAAAAACGTCACGCATGCCTCACGACCTTGAGCACTTTTTTTCTTTTTTTTTTCTTCGAATGCGTGGATTTTTAGTGCGATCGCGCGCGCACGCGTGGACAAGTAGCAGCCTCCCACGACGATCGCCCTCGGGCGAGCGCGCCATCTTCAAATCAGCCAGTGGTTTGATATATGGGTCGTTGAAGTTTGATTTTTGGGCTTATAACGTGATTTGTCGAGAGAAGAGAAAGCAACCTTAGCTGACTTTGGTAGTCTATTGGGAATTCTAGGCCACGTGCTGCGCTATATTATTTGGCTCGCGTGTTGTCGGGAGCCTCTACTACCAATCGGCAGCGTTTTCTGACCATGCTCAAGAAGTGTTACCGGGCCCCTTTAACGGTGACAAAAGTCGCTGAGAAGAAAACCGCAAGATACGATTTGCGGACTCGGTTATACTAGTCAGGAAAGTTGGTCAGAGCATTTTGCTTGAAGATGTTACGCCAAAACACGTGAACATGCGAAGAATGAAACTGCAGAGATAAAAAAGGCATGTTTTGCTGCCTCATAATGTTGCCAGAGAAGTTTGAAGACATTGACGAAAATTCGATAACGATGAGACCATGTCGACGCATCATTAAAAAAAAAGGCGTTCCTCGTGGGATGAGATACGGCGCTGTATTCTGCTAGTAGGCGGATTTCAGACCGAGAATAAGGATCAAAATTTATTAATAAAGGTTTGGTAAAGTTACAAGCATTTAGTATACAGAAGGAGGTCTCATAGTCAGTATACTGCATCGGAACCTGCTTTACTAAGGCGACTAAGATAGTAAAACACTTCAAGGCAATCGTAGCAAGAGATAGGCAAGCGAAAAAACATAAGAATAGCAGAACAATAAAATAATGATTGCATAACATAGCATAAATTTAGCATATCACTTACAAATTGTAAGAGAAAAAATAATAGAAAAATCAAGCGTACAGCATTTTGAAAATCTTCATCTATTGTGCCCTGAAAAACAAAGTATACAATAAATCAAGCAACATTACTTCTGGTTAGCCTGCGTGAAGTAAGTACATTATTAGCTCTTTCTTAAAATTATGTAATAGTATTACATGAGTGAAAGAGTGTTCCATAATGCAACGGAAGTGAATGTTGCGGTTTGCTTACCATAATTAGTGCGAATTTAGCGCAAAAGAAAAGCACTGTTCACTGCGAATCGAGCAGTACTATAAATCATCAGATTAGAAGACGGGAAAATGTCCGGTGGAAGTTCGTTATTATTAACACTCTAGAAAAAAACTATCTAGGTTTCAATTAGGGAGCTGAGTTATTCTCTCTCCCGTCGAAGTTAGTTATGTAAATAAAACTAAAGCTATAATTTTTAATTCTATTAATAAAAAATCTGATACTTTAGTACATTTGCTGTATAAATCCCAGCCAGTTGAAATTGTCAGGTCAATAAAATCACTAGGAGTTTATTTCACACTACATTTGCAATGGAATGATCATGTCCACAACATTTTATTAAAAGCATCGAGAGCGGTTGGTATACTTTGGCGACATAAATCTGTTTTACCTTTAAAGGCAAAGCTTGCTATATACCATGCTTTATTCCTTTCACACTTGAACTACTGCACGTTAGTGTGGGCGACAACGACTAAAACTAATTTAAGAAAAATTTCATCACTCCATAATAAAATCCTCCGTCTAATTTACAACCTTCCTCACAGACATACAACAGATCACTTGTTTAGTGAACATGAAATCATCAATGTTTACCACCTATACATTTACAGGCTTTTACGCCGCTATAAGATCGAACAAAAAAAACGTTCATTTACTATTACAGATATCGCTTCCATGATACGTTATCAATCAAAGTACCCTCACCGTCATCAACCACCTTGGATGCTTCCTCGTATAAGAACTAACTATGGACAACAAAAAATTACTTATCAGCTACCGTTACAATTAAACAGGTTATATTCATCAGGTGTTAACATAGCAGATATCACCCTTTCTCAACTTCGCCAATATCTTATTAACACTCCTGACAATTAAGACCTTATCTTCAAAGTTCGTAGATAACAATTAGGGAAAACAATAAACAAAAACACAAAGGATGAAAATGCAGTCACCGCTGCATGTAAATAATATGTTTAATGTATTCGTGCTTTACATATTGCGACTTTTGATTTATATTACTATATATGTTTATTGCACTGTGTCTGTGTGGGTTTTTTTTTTCTTTTTTAGTTTGAAGGCTTTATCAATTCTAATTTTGTTAATGTTGTGTATTCTTGTCAGCTGTGGTGTTCTGTTGCCGCCACCGCCACTGCCTTATGTACATTGGGGGGTGAGAACTTAGTCAAGCGGATAATCGCTTTTATTCTCACCCCCTCCATCAACTGTGTATTGGTGGAAATAAAAACCATTATTATTATTATTATTATTATTAGTAGAGATTTGACATTGAAAAGGTGTGAGCTGTATATAATTATTTTAATAGGATGGTTCTAAATAATCTGCAAAGACGGAATATGAGTATTGTAAATATTTTTCCAGCATATTATGCTACAAGTAAATGAGAATGGACTAAACAGTGATATATACAGTCAACACATTAATTTTAATAGAGCTAGTTGACTATCACATGGTCTTCTATGCTGACTACGATAATAAATTAATAGCAACCAAAAACTCGACAATACTGGACAAAACGACATGTTCCATGTGTTTAGAGTAAACACCATTGGTACTTTGCATAGGGTGATGACTTCCTCACACGGACGAATTACCTTAGTTATGACGCGTGGAAACTTAGGTAAGTTGGTGTTATCAGCGCTGTGTGTATGATCTTCTTCAGTCCTTTAGTGCTCTTCTTATATTAAATTATGACCATATTTAGCCACGGTGACCGCTATTGCAGCCGTAATTTGTGCGTGTCTGAAATCAACAAACGCGATCAGACGACCACATTTAAACATAACTGAACAGAAATACTGTTTATATAAATAGATAAAACGAATAACACTACGTTTTAAAGCTATAAAAATAAGAGTGAATCGCTGAAGCCAGGTAACGATGTCTTTTTCCTGTGGGCTGTGCAATGAACCACGGCTTGTCACACACTTTCGATGAAGCGTTGGAAGTCGCCCCTGTAGATGTAGATGGCGTTTGCCAGGTGCACAGCAGTGGTCATGAAGGACACCGCCTGAAAGGAGAAATGTAAGCTAGAGCCACCCAAACTATTAAAACAATTCGAACACAACGTGACAATATGCACTAATGATTTCGCACTCCACCCGAGCATTCTCTGTTCGGAATCGCCAAATATGAATATACTAGCATACAAGAGTGATAGAAAACACAGCAGTTGATGCCATGTCGAGTGGTTACTCCGCATGTAGGGGTTTACTCAGTTCAGCTTCAAAAACAACAAGGGCCCGACACACAGCATTTCGTTCGTAGGTGTTTCTTTACATTGGTGAGCCGGTTTAAATAACGATGCACACAACGTTAACGATGGCTTATTGTTTCTCTTACGAGTGATCGTTACGTAAAAGCTATCATGGCCTATGAAGTTGGCAAGTAAATGAACGGGGTAAGAAACTGCAGTTCAGCGACTTCTATCTCTTTATAAGTGATAACTAGCTTTTAAGAAGCCTGTATGCAAAACTTGTCTATATTTTTATCTGGTCGCGCTCCGTGCACTTTTATGAGCTATTTCGCAAGCACACGGAGTGCTCCTCCATATATTTCTTTTTGCATTTGTTTGGTTATATGAGATTTAAAGTACGCAACTTGATCGTAGTCTATACATTCGTTTACGAAGTAAACCAATAACACTCACTGAGGCGAAAATAGCGTTGGAAGCGTCGAAGTATCGGGCGAGCACGTAGATTCCGCACACCAGGAAGACGAAACTTCCACCGCCGTGGTATAGGAGTTGCTGTCCCACCTGCAACAAAAGGGAAAGGTTTGTATTAAAAGGGTATTATGATATAACAGCCATAGTGTCCATATCGAACGCAATTTCAATGTGTTACGCAATGCAAAACAGCACTCGAGGCACCTACAAACAAATTTCGAGCAAGTTCAGGTTTGCTTGCCGAAATTATTAGCAAGACAAATAAAAATAAAACACGGTCTCACCGTCTGGACAAATCCATGAATGTGATAGCAACAAACTGGAATGTTATGTGAAGTAAGGCCATACGTTTAGCATCAGACCTGACGTGATTACTGCATTAAGGAAACGTGGCAGCGAGTGCAGCAACCTTCCTGCTGTTTATTGCTTCAAAGAAAACTGAGCCGCAAATACACAGCGCGTACAAAATTGTCAGCCGTCAGCTCACCCCTCATTCTTAGGGTGGCCACGCTATAAAGCTCGAAGGACAGCCGAGCGTGATTCGAGGTTTATTGCTTGAACATCGGCCAAGAACTGCAACAGAACCAAGATCTAGAATTTTCTTTTGAGGAGAGGGAGGTATTGGGGCCGGCTTCATTCGCTCTTTTGCTGCTCCTTAAAGGTATAATGAACAAAAGTTTGAACCACTGATGGAAACATCAAATTTCTTGTCGGAAGACACTACTGTCAAGATAAACAGGGTTTATTTCGCGTATTTTAGACCGCTTTCTTCCGGCTGCATTGCTGGTGGATTGTCAGCATGCGGCGACTACACACGACAGCGAGCCGTGACGACACATTATCCGAGGCGCATGAAGGGTGCACATGAAGGTGCACGTGCATGAAGGGTGCACTCTGCCTTCGCTCCACCTTTCCTTTCATCCCACTTTACCGTTTTCACAAGAGCGCTGATGCTTCATCCCAGCCGCGAGTATTGGTCGCGGACGTAGTGGTTCTGCAGGAACCAAGGAGGATTAAAAAATTGCTGGAGTGGAAATGATTTCCAAGATGTGAAGCCGTTCCTCTGGCAAGATGGTGGATGTTACGACCATCTTACTAGGGGCATGATAAAGTATCACCGTCCAGCGATTAGAAATTAAGCATTTCTCTCGGACGCCCATCGAGTTTAATGTGGCAACATTTTATTTATTTATTTATTTATTTATTTAGTACCCACAGCGCCAGAGGCATTACAGTGGGGGAGGGGTTTACAGTCAGTCTGGACAGTTCAATATTTTGTCATATATAAAGCGTGGAAAACGGTAATAGCAACAACAACAGCTACAGCAGATCGACAACATAAGTTATTCACAGCAGTATGCAGTATATGTGAGAAACAAGAACACTACAAGGTTGAGTCACTTCAACAGGAAAAATAAGTGATTTGATATCGGAGTATAGCCACAATTCCCTTCTGCATACAGTGTGAGGACAAAAGAAAGAAGAACAAAAGATAAGAACAGTAATACATACAGTACGTCCTAAAAAGATCAAAGAAACAATCATTTCAGCAGGGCAAAAAACATCTCATTCGAAACTACGTTGACGATGTCAGCAGGTAACCTATTCCAGTCGTGGATTGTTTTTGGAAAGAAAGATTTCTTAAAAAGTTCCGTGCGGCATAGAACCTCTCTTACTTTTCGCTCATGGTCCACGCGTTGGGACCTATAGTTAGGCGGTATTATATATATGTCTCTCTGTATGTTAATCGTACCATAGTAAATGGAATGAAAAAGCTTCAGGCGCAGCTTTCTGCGTCGTTCTACTAGGGTATCCCATTTGAGTTCTTCCTTAGTTCGGGTCATATAGTGCTCGAAGTGCGTTTTACAGTTACTAGTTTTCTTTAGTGAGCCTCTCATGGGAGGCAAAGTTTATTGAAGATTTAGTCATTCATACTTGTTTCCGTGTGTTATTTCGTTGGGAACAACTATCTTTTCACATATAACTAACGTAGCATTTACATAACATAACGAAGCCACTTGATCTTTAAGTGGGCATCATCAGAAAAGAGCATGTTTCTGCCATCTTGGCAGTGGCAAAAGGTGGCTACACGTCTGCTGGCAAGGCATTGCGGGAACTTCCACTCCAGCAATTTTTGATTAATCCTCCTTGGCAGGAACCAGCTGACCGGGCCGCAGCAGCCGCTAGACGCGGTGGTTTGTGGAAAACTCAATAAGCTCATCACTTTTTTCTAGTTTCTGCTTAAAACGAAAGCTGTGTCTATTGATTTCAACACCCAATATTTCAATATGGCTGAATGTTTATGCAGCGAAAACTGCTCAGAATCTCTAAGCTGAGATCACTCCCGCCTGAGAAAGGCACAATTTCATATCTTTTCTTTATCATGACAACGCAATACATTTTGTTCAAGTGAACAAGCCGTGACGACGAAACAGTGCCAAGCACCAGCTTTACCAGACTTTCCTAGCAATTCTGCTATCGCCAGCGGAGATAACAGCCAACGAATACTACACTTCGTCGCAAAGATGGAAAGCTTCAAATACAAAGGATGTAGAGTTTGTTGTAGGGTCGATTGCTGTAACACGTAAGAGCCTATCAAGGCAATGAGAATACTTAATCTTGATTTTCGCTGCTTCCACTTATGCTTCTAACCTTCAAATCGCAGTCGACTGTAAGCAGTTCCTGCCGAAGCCATGCGGTGCCACACCACCTTGATTAAAACGCGTCTTTGGAGCGCCGAAAGGAACTTACGCGCTTTCTCTCCTCTTGTCGTGATCGTCAGCTGCCATTGCACGCTTTGACTCGCACAGAGACCATACGACGCGCAGGGTGATGTTATCGACATCGGACTTTTGATGGAACCTGACAGCGATGCGTATACCGATCGCAGAAATGCTCCTCGAGTGTTCATACAAGCGCCATCAATATAACTTGTCATAAACATGCCAAATTCCCGCAAAATCTTTCAGTGAGGCTATATTCCACGCCCAGCCGAGGATGAATTAGAGTGGGCCACCGGCTACCCGGTTCATGACACCTAAAGTGCGCGCCAATCGGTTAAGGTTTGTCTGACCTTCAGGGGGAGAGAACACTTCACAAGCTGCGTAAGGTTGGAGAACAGGTGGGCTGCATGGTCCACCGTGTCTCTACCAAGAGGGGAGGTCTCAAAAGCAAGGATGCGCTTCGTCTCGCACATGCTTTTGTCACTAGTCGCATCTTGTATGTGACTACATACCTGCACTTAGAGAAGCATGATGAAGATTTTTTGAAAGTCACCCTCCACGATATTATTAAGAGAGACCTAGAATTTCCGATCACTACTTTCAATGCAAGAATTTTTGCCTTGGGAGTGGTAAACAGCTACAGGGAGCTCTGGTAGGCTTGCTGAAATTTTCAACTGCAGGAATGGATCTCACCCCTAGCTGCGAAAATTCCTAAATCTTGTCCGCGGGTAGGTTACCCCTCTCCCTGGTCACTAATCTGGAATCCTGGCCATTAGGGCCTCACTGGCAATGAAGAGGCACACGCTGCCGCCCACGCACTTATTGCTCTGGCCACTGCCTCGCCAACGGATGACCCCTGTGATCCAGAAGACAACATTCCTTTCCTAACCTATAGAGAGATAATTACGCATTACCGGGACTCTCACCACCGCTTTCCTACGCCCTGCAAAGGACTCCAAAAGGTGGACGAGAGAATTCTTCTCCGTCTATTTACCAACACGCTACGGTGCCCGGCACTCTTCCTTTTCCGACCTCTGCCAGAACTGCGCGGAGGTGGCTGACACCTACCACATGGTATGGGCGTGTCAGCTCAATCCTTATTTACTACCGAACCCAAATCCAACCAGAGAGGACTGGGAGGCGGCCCTGCTTGTTTGCCAGGACCTTCTGGCCCCACAAATTATGGTCTACTATGCCAGGGCAGCGGCCACTGCCAATGGGGTTCCTGACTAGGGACTCCACCTAGCACTGTAGGGAAGTTGACCCACCATGGGCTGGTTTCCCTGGCAACCTCTTTGTTTTAATAAATGTTTACCACCATGCACCACCATCAGGTTGACAGACTGCTTCCTTTTCAAGTTTAACACGATCATAGTCATTATTTATCTGAAATATCTTTTAGAATAATATACAGGAAAGGTGTTCGCGAGGGGAGAAACAGTATATCTAATCAACAGTTTCATCCACCTTATCAGGAACTTGACAATAAGTGCCAGGTGGTATGGTATAGTATGAATAACTTTATTTTGGTCCCGTTGGTTAGTCCAAGACTGACGCTGGCTGATCCCCGGTATGGACAGAGAGGTCAAGCCCTTCTGCCACTAGACGACCCTCTGGGCAGCCCTAAGTTGGTCCACCGGCACTTCACTGTGGAGCAACTGTGGCCACCCCTGTTCCCCGTGAGAAGCATCTCCGGCCAACTCCGAGCCACACCAGAGCATATGGTCTAATTCGAGCAAGCCCCTACACTTAGTACAATAGACCTTAACCCCGCAGTCCGGATTAATTTTATTCGCTACGAATGGGTTAGCAACGTCCGAGTCTGCAGAAATCCTAATGTAACCACCTGTGGTCTGATTACTCTAGAATGTGGCAAGGGGAACGCCCTGTGCCCTTAATACTGCTTGGTGATCTTGTTATAAGTTAATGATTGGTTCCTAAACATAGGAGTGGGAGATTCAGCCACCTCAGGGATTGCACGGCGCACTAATCCTCGTGCCTCCCATTGAACCACCTCGTTGAGGTTACGCGGGGCTCCCTTTACTGATCCCACCTGCGCTGGAAACCAACTGTATGAGGAGTGATGCCCTTACCCTGCAGCAGTCAGTAAGCTGGTTTTGTAAGCTGGTTCTCCTCTCGAAAAGGCTTTAATCGCAGAGTGAGAGTCACTGAAAACTAAAACTCTACCCGAATCAATGAGTGCCAGGGCAATACCCACCTGCTCTGCAACCCTCGGATATTTGGTATAAATGGAACCGAGATTCGAACACGCCCTTTGCCATTCATACCACCACTACCGAGTAAGCATTGTCATTTTGCCATATTACATGAAGAGTGTGAAGCCTGCAAAACATTGACCGATAATTC